AACAAGAAAATTCTATATCTACTACATCAAAGAAGATTTACTCTTATGTAATGTTTTAGCAATCATCACGCAATGCATGAAATAAAACGGGCAGATATTATTTTCACTTTTCCATTTTTTTTTGGTTGCAATAAACCTGACATGAATTTATTGTTAACAATCTTCACATTGTAAACGAGAAACTTTATTTAAATATCACAGTTTCAGCATGTGTTGTCCAATGGCGTGTATGTTCAATCCTGCCGAGTCGAAGTCATATTAAATGTCTTCGGTTCTAAACAATTAAGGATCATTGCTAATTTCACAACACCCCCACCCACCAAGCATTTCTTCCCGTGGCAGGAACCGAATATTTTCCACACAACTAACCAGGAATTAATAGATGTCTGCAAGGAATCAGTGACAGAAATAAAAGGGAATTTCTAAAAAAAAAGAAAAAAAAATCGTTGGCCGTATTTGTTAATAGCATATTAGATTGTGTCCGCGGGTGTTTCAAAAATTGGTGCATTCTCCCCTGTTTTTCATTGATGTTTTCTGGCATTGATTTTATAGGAACGCTTTATATACGCAGCTCGCACACACGCAGATAGATAGATAGATAGATAGATAGATAGATAGATACTATAATGTTCACCTAATACAAGGCCCAAGAGTCACTCAATGTAGAGGCTTACTGTGCGGTGTTGTATGATCGCAAGAAAAGGCATGGAGTGATGTCCATGATGTTAGGCAGGAGAGATAACGGTTAATCCGAGACTTAAAGAGGTCAAGATTATAATTGAATAGGAAAATATCCTGCCGAGAGTCTGTTCCGTAAAGTAGCAGATCTTAGGAAGAAATTTTTTTACTTCTTATTAATGGAATACGAAGGTAGTGGGGATGACCTTTTGTACGTGGCATGGCGAGTCCCAGTCGTAAAAGTCAGGGTTTGTGCGACCAAGAAATATAGCTCGTTAGATAACATGTTAAGGAAATAGCGATAGAGAGGCTTGTAACTATTCGTCTGTGGGAAAGGGGTTGTAGGGTGGAAAATAATTTAAATACCATTTTAAAAAGGTCAATTATTTTATTCAGAAGGATCTTCGCCCGAATGTTAGACATATTTATATTTTTGATAAATAACAAATGAATATTTTTTAACACTAATGGAAACTTTGGAAAGTGTGCGGAAAACAATGGTTCATCGAAACCTTGCGAATGAAATTACTCTGATCGAACTGTTCAGAAGCCGGCGAAGTGTTTGGGCGTATTGGCCTTGTTCCGAAAATTGATCACGCCAGATTATATGCTTTCTTGCAGAAAATGTAACTATGGTCTGTTCATCATAGTTGTATCAACAACAGACCAAACGTCTGTAATAGGCGCTCCTAAAAGACGTTTGTAATCGGAAATGAGGAAGATCCGGCCATTATATTGTACTGTTTGATGAGATTCTGTATTGAACAATTTTCGCTGAATATTAATAAAATGGGAAATGCTTCAAATTATATATAATTTATTTGTTTTCCACATGTTGTGATATTCGACTAAGTCTGTACATAATATCAAATTTTCACATTTAAAAATATATTTAATTAAATCTGCATTAAAAGCTAGATCGCTTTCTTCCTACCAGAATTTCTAGGACGAGGTAATGTCATTATTTACTTTATATACATGCGGACTATTCTCCCCATCTTTGTTGTTATTATCACAGCATTTTGGCCGATATCCCCGCCCCCGGTCATCAACAGGTTCTTCTAGAGCTTAAGGGAGTTCTTAATTGAATTTCATACTAAATAAAAACTACGACTGTCCCAACGAGCTTCTTTTGCTGGTTCCTTGACTACATGAATTTAAACGAGCTACCAGGTTGGCATCTCAGTCCCACCCTTTCACTGTCAAAATGGTTAAATATAGCCGTCTCTTCTACTCAAACAGCTTCTTCTCCCGCACTTCCCGTCTGTGGAACTCCCTTCTTCTTACTTGCTTCCCCGATTATTATAATCTTCAAATATTCAAGTGTAATGTCAATCGATATCTAACACCCTGAGATTGTTCCTCGTCCTTCTCTTTCCGCCAACATGCCTCCTTACTCTTGCTCTCGGTCCTCTGTAGCCCCTTGCGTGCTAGTGGCACTCCCGCTTTGCTGGGGGGGGGGGGGGAAATGCTTTAAAAAAAACTAATCACTACTGTGTTGATAGTAAGTCTGATTGTTTCGATAAGATCAAATTGTCCGAAGATCTCAGAACTGGGCTAATTTTAACACCTCCAAAATGACACTGCTCTCTGTTAATCAATCGCTGGATCCATTTCTGTCTTCCGTCAGCATGGCTGATGCTAACCTTCAGAGAAATGACTCGTTGCCCTTTCTCGAGCTAACATTCTCGGCTGAAATGAAGTGGAAATATTATATCAAATCAATTACTAGGTCTGTTACTAGGAAATTTGGTTCACTGTGCCGTACTAGAAAATTATTCTCTCTGGAATCTGTCTTACACATTTATATGTCTACCAATTGTCTATGCTTCGAGTATTGCTGCCACATATGGTCTCTTGCTATATATTTAGAGATTCTTGATAAAATCTAAACAATAATCAGCAATGTTATTTGTCCTGACCTGGCATCTCGGCTTCAGTGACTTTCCCACCGCCGTAATATACCCTCCGGTGAGCATTTTATATATATATATATATATATATATATATATATATATATATATATACTATATATATACTGTCATGGTAATTGTTCTGATAAACTTTTCCTCTATGCTATCCAGACTTTAGAAATTTTAGCGCAATACTACATTGGCAACTGGGTTTCATCCTTTTACAGTTGAATGGCTAACCGTAAGTTCTTTGCTAACAGTTTCTTTTCTCGCACTTCTCGCTTGTGGAACTCTCTTCAGGCTTCTTGCTCTCCAGCCAACTTTGATCTTCAAAAGTTTAAATGCAATTTCAATCGTTATCTCGAATACTCTACTTGTGTTTTTCTCGCTCCTTAATATATTTATTTTTATTATTCTTTCACACTTGTGTCTTAGTGGCTTTATTGCCTTGCTTGGGGTGAAATGATTAAACAAAGATATAGATATCTGTCTATATTTCTGAGATGAGGTATTATGTACATTATTTACATTATTCAGACTATTGTCTTCATCTTTGTCGCCATATCTATTACAACGTTTCGGCCGTTGTACCCTCCGGCCTTCTTCAGGTGGTTGGAATGGCGAACTGAACCTTTTATTTCGCTCACTGGGGAAGACTGTTCTAGTTCCACGTGCCATGTTTAATGGATGTCAGTTATTAGTTATCTCCTGTTAATTCCCCTCTCCAAGTTCTCCACCGCCTTAACCAGGTATTGAACTCACACTCTTTGGGTCCTGTCATTGGATCTAACCAACGCCTTTATCCACTGTGCCATGTAATAATAAAAAAATATAGATGATCAGCGAAAATAACTTACCACAGAAGATTAAATGTAGAGTTCAGTTCGAAATTCTAGAGGGCACAACTTTGTAATAATAACAACAAAGATGAGGACAACAGTCATCATGTGTATAATGTTAATAAGAAGATCACTTTATAGCCTGTACAAGGTAGATAACTCTAGCACCTCAAAGAGTTCATAACGGTATAATAGGTGGCGTATTATATTATCATATAAAAACATTCCATTATATTTTTCAAAATCTTAACTTTTCCTTCAATATTCGTAATATTCAATATAATAATAATATTCATAATTTTCAATATAAGTTAAATAAGTAAGAAGAAAATCATATTTAACTCACATCCTTGTTTTTTTCGTTAGATTCCTAATTATATCTTCTGTTTAAAATAGAATTTAATATTTAAAAAAGAAAACACAAAAAATCCGTGTTAAAATATATATTTTAAATAAAGTCACATAGTCGAGGTCTATTTATGAATTTAGGCACACACAATGAATACAGATTGTACAAAAAGTCAGGGACAGCTCTAATCGTGGCAAAAAGACAAGTCCAAAACTATTAGGTTTCATCAGTAATATAAAACATACGTAAAAGTCCAACTTCATTTTTTTTTTCATTTATTTTTCATTGAAAATACCTTCCTCACCTTGCTTCTCTTTGGTCTAAAGACATAATATATTATTATTATTATTATTATTATTATTATTATTATTATTATTTTATTATTATTATTATTATTTTAATATCATTATTGTTATCATTATTATTATTATTATAGGTTTTTGTCTCGTTAGCTTTTTCATCGACGATGTTATATCTAGCCGCACACACACACACACACATATATATATATATATATATATATATATATATATATATATATATATATATATACCGTACCTATAATAGGTATGTCCCAATCCCCATATTTTGGACACTATTGTAAATGGGGTCATATGCTAAATAGTCCATCACTAGCAGTGGTTTACCTATTTCACATCGCTGGCGAGTATTGTATGATGTTATAAAGATTACCATTTTATTTCCAATCTCCGTTTCGGTTATTCCACATTCAGAAACCCTTTCTACGTTACGACAATATATATAAATGTGTGTGTGTGTGTGTGTGTGTGTGTGTGTGTGTGTGTGTGTGTGTGTGTGTGTGTGTGTGTAAAAGTGGAAACTGAGTTCAACACCGGATGGCGAGAGTCCGTTCCACGCTTGAATGCTACCTTTTGGCGTTCAGGCATGAAAAATTTGTCACTGCTCGGTGTAGAATTCAGTGTCGACTTTTAAATTTACATACACTATACACCTGATATTGAAAACTTTTACCAATAAATATGGCATAACTTAAAACCATATATATATATATATATATATATATATATATATATATATATATATATATATATATTTCGGTGTGTATTTACAACATCTACCGACCTTTTGTCACTTTGAATTATTTTGATTACTTCCCCTCTTAATATCTTCTTTTTATTTTTTACAGATATTATATTTCGATTAGCCGGCGGTGGATCGAATTTCGGTCGCGTCGAAGTGATGATCGAAGGTCAATGGGGGACGTTCTGCTCTACTTTCTGGGATGAGAGGGAAGCGGGTGTTGTCTGTCGCCAGATGGGCTTCTCCTCGGGTCAGATGAGCACTACGCCCTTGGATAGCAAGGGCACCGGCCCTGTATGGAATAATATGTTCCGGTGCAAGGGAAGAGAGAACCACCTCAATGAATGTCCGCACTCCGGTTGGAAAAAATTATCCCCGACGCTGTATGGCTGTGGAACGCATGACAGAGACGCGGCGGTATTTTGCTACACGACTGGTAAGTTATAATGGTCAGATTTCTATTACATAACAAATATACATATGTTTGCTTCTCAGATTACGTCTACTAGTTATCAGCTGGATTGAAACTCAGAACAGGTACATTTAATTGATTAATTCAATGAATAAAACTCCACGAAATAGGACAAGACAGACCTTTGCAAAACACAAACTATAATCTGGAATTGGAATGAAACCAGTGATGGCACCTTGGATCTGTCGTAAAATTTCAAGGAGGTGGAATTAGTAAATACTAAACACTTCAAATGTCTCGACGTATAGATCAGTTATAGAAAATTTAATATTGGAGAAAAAGAACATAGAGTATTATTGATAAAACTTGAATAAACTTAAATAATGCTTGAAGGTTAAATTCACTTTAACGGGAAGGGAGACAAACCTGCTACTGCTACTGCCACTACTTAGAACACATCCATTAAGTTGGGGAGTGTGAATCTAATATTTCCAGAAATTTGTTAGCAAGAATGATGAGTTCAATTCTTGGTATGGCCAGGAGATTCACCAATTATTATCAATGTTATTAAACTGTACTCCTGATGTTAAAATGGCAGATTACATATTGAGAGTCACATTTTAAAATAGGACTAGAAAACTTTTAATGCTTCTTGAAGAATTCAGAAATTGCATGGAAGTCATCATTTGTAGAGTTCGATGTTTAAAAACGCAGGATAATTTTAAAAGAAAAAATATTATAAACAGGAGCCATGATATGGTTATTCATATGTGGGATAAGAATGATCTTGACCAGAAAATCAATATCCTTTACTAAGTGTTCCAAGAAATGGGATTCATGATAAAACTTTCCAAAACAGAAAATATTATTTGAAATTGAAATGAAAGTAGTCAATGTCTGAATCCATAAAAATTCAAGATGTGAATGTATACGCATATACAAAAAATTCAAATACCTCCGAGCTTGGATCGATCACTCATAACAAATTTAGTAAATTTAAAAGAGAATAGTCAGGTCCTTAAACAGACTCGTCAGATCTGAAGGTGTATGATATGTCTCGGAAAGTGATACATTTGTTCGAAGTAGCAAAGTGGTTTTGGACTACTGTAACCGAGTAGGACAATCTAGCAGGTAACCGTAATGGACTGGTCCTCGTCGTAGTGGTAGGCAATAGGCGAAAACAATAGGCGTAGGCAATAGGCGTAGGCAATAGGCGTAGGCAATAGGTGTCGTCTTGTACCTCCACATCAGTCTGTATTTATGGCTGACACCAGCCAATCATATTACTTTGAGGAGGAACCCAGGTGTATGCATATTCATTACATCAGTGTATGTCATGCATGGCACCAAACCCATTCGCAAATATCTAAAACTGTTATCTGTATACAACTGCTTTCTCAGATCAGTGGTCAAAATGGCGTCTTGGCGAAGACCATTCTTCTTCGAAACTTATTATCTGGCGTATGAATCATAAACAAAGAACTGTGCCAAACAACAGAAAGGACGTCGCTTGAAGACATTATATATGTAATTTTGTTTTTGGGGGGTTTAAAAGACAGCATCAGCCCACAACGGAATTTTAAGAATTATATACAAGATAAAACGCAATAAACAGAGACAAAACGTATAAACTGCTTTAGTATGCATTTCAGACAAATTATTGCATATTTTAAAGAACATACGTATACAGAAATAAACAGTTTGTGCTTCTGTTGGTAGCAATATATTCTATCAGGGTACTCTCCCTGACGTCTGCCTCCTTTGACCGCCGAAAATGTAGAGAAACTATTGCTTTTTGTTTCAATTTTTGGTAAATTTTCGAATTCCAGTCGAATCCATTACATTCACTTACGTGCTAATACCCTTGGGAAAGGTATGAATCCTCTTCTTCTCCCTCCAGCCATGGGTAAATAGCAGGACAGACTGGGTTCTATAGCCTTGGATGACAACTGTTCTAGGAGAAGGACAACTTTGAATTCAAAACCTGCGAGGGTCGTATAGGGACCTTGTGGCACGTAGTGCACTAGGTCTCTGTAATCAGCATTTAAAAAGTGTGGATGGTCCTGCACGAAACCTTCACCACTATAATCAAATCTCATGTGATGTTGTCGGGCTATCGATTCCCTAGGAACTGATCTGCTTGACCCTCATATGTAGAATTCGACAGGAGAGTTGTGTATATATATATACATATATATATATATATATATATATATATTATATATATATATATATATATATATATATTCATTTACGTGCTAATACCCTTGGGAAATGTATTAATCTTCTTCTCCCTGCAGCGATAGGTAAGTATCAGAACAGACTGTGTTCTATAGGTTTGGATGAAAACTGATCTAAGAGAAAGATACCTTTGAATTCAACACCTGCGGTGGGTCGTTAGGGGACCTTGTGGCACGTAGTGCACCAGGTTTCTGTACCTGGCCTTTCATGTCGTTGGTTCTGCACAAAGCCTTCACCACTAAAATCAAATTATATGTGCTGGTGTTTGGCTGCCAGTTCCTAGGAACTGAGTTGCTTGACCCTCATACTTCGAATACGACGTGAGAATGTACCATTTATATATATATATATATATATATATATATATATATATATCACAGCCACTTTTAAAGTTTTTCTTGATCTTTTGATCTTTAGAATTTCTCTGAACTTACCTCGATCGAAAATAGATAATTGCTTGCTTCACTCTTTACGTTTGTCAGACAAGAAAAAGACTGTTCTAAGAGATTTCTTTTGAATAAAGAAAGATTAATACCAGAAAAAAAATGAACGTAAAAATTAAATTTATTCAAGATATATGTATCGATTAGGAGTGAAAATATGTTTTTTTGAAGTCCTCCAAACCCATTTTGATGTTCTTGATATCTAAGATTTCTAATTTAAAAGGGTTTTTTTTTTCTACTCAGATAAAAAAATATTATCTAATCACAAATACCTTTTAAACATGAAAACTTTTTTTTTTGAGTAAGCAAATATCTTGCCATATCTCAGCATGAAAGAAAATGAAAATCAGTGTTCGATCAGGGATTTTAAATGTTTTGATGATTGGCACAACACAATCCTCTTTTTTTTATTTTCCCCTGTTTCGGTAAATATCAATAAAATATCAGATGTTACTACAGTGAATCAATTGTTAGCTCTGCTGCTAAAAAATTCGATTAACTGTTTCATTCTAGGCCCATTTTCTTGGCAGAATCTATTTTACACATTTACGTGCCTACCGTTCGTTTATTCATTGAGTATTCCTGCCATATCTGGTTTGGTGTCTTTGCTATGTATCTAGAGATTCTTGGCAAAATATAAAGTATCTCTAATTTTATCTATCATCTCGTCTTCAGTCACTTTCCCACCGACGTAATGTCGCTTCTCTATGACATCTCTATAAATATTCTCCTGGAAATTGCACTGATATACTTTTCTGTTTGGTACTACGACTTCATGAATTTAAGCGCAATAATAGATTGACATATAAATCTCATCCTTTTAACGTTGAAATTGCTAGGTGTAACCGTAAGTTCTATGCTAACAGTTTCTTCCCTCAAACTGCTCGTTTATTGCTTAGCTGTCAACTCTCTCAGAATTGCCTCGCTGTATAAACTGAATATCCGGTGAGAAAACACTGGTTGAAATTACTAGATTATTTAAATGTAATACGAAATTAGCTTAGATTTTGGTATATATATTTGGCTATCCCAGTGCCTCTTGGATTTTCAGTGTCGCACTTTCTATCCTCTGTCAGAACACTTCCTACAAATCTAAATTTTTGGTATCTCCGAATTGTAATTTTTCGTTTGACTTTCATCCCTTTTCGAACAACCATGTATTCTATCTTTTTGCAGTTGATGTTTAGTCCTTTCTTCCTGCTTTCCTTCAGCTACCTTCTGTAGGAGTTTTTGTTGTTTTCTTCGTGTGTCTGCAATCAACACTGTCATCTATCCTATATTGTTAAGATTGTAGCCGCCAATAATGAATCGTGGTAGTAACTCTAATTATCTCAGGGTTGCCTCGCTGTATGGGCTGAATAAGTCCGGTAAGAAGACACATGCTTGTCTTAAGCCTCTTTCTATTTTTGTATATCTGCTGAACTCATTGTCTGCCCGTCTGCAGGCGATTAGTATACGTTCTTGATTAATCCTTCCCAATATCCTTCCCAAATATGTCAAGTTTGCTGAATTGTTCTAACAAATCTTTGTGGCGTATTTTATTAAACGCTTTTGCGTAATCTATAAAACATAGGTACACATCCTGCATTTGTATTGCTCATTCGGATAACGCTCTGAACATAAATATTGCGTTCCTTGTTCCAGTGTCTTTGACGAACCCGCACTGTTCTTGTCCTATTTCTGGTCTGATTCTGTTGCACGCTAATTTAGTCAGAAATCGGATAGGTTTTGTTATATAGCTCATTAGGCTGATTGTCAGATGGAATTCACATTCGTTTGCACATGGCTTCTTAGGACAGTCTCCTTAGAAGATGGAGACTTGAAGCAACAGAAATATGGTTCTACATAAGGATGCTGAGGATACTATGGACTGAACGTGTGAGCAAAGACGAAGTTTCAGAGAAAATGGAAACAAAAAAAAAACTTATACGTAGAATCAGGAAAAGACAGTTGAAATTTCTAGGGAACATAAATGTTTTTTTTGTTGTTGTTGTTATTTGGTACTGTTCTTTGTTACTGCTTTTGTAGCGCCTGACCCCGAGGTTTGAAAAAGGATTGTCTTCGATAAGAACAACGATCTTCATTCGTTGGGAGTCACTTTTAACTATTGATCTGAGAAAGCGGTGGTATACAGCTGACATTTTTAGATATTTCTGAACGGGTTTGGTGCCATGTATGATATACATATGAAAGTCTAGATCTGACGAAGCGATTTAGGAACATAACTGGTGTTCTTCGGTCAATGTTTTCGTTTTGTAGCAACTTGCGGTGTTGGGAGAAACTACCTCTGTCTCAGCCAATTCTATGTTCAATTTCCTTATCTCCTCTACTAAATTTGTTATAAGTGATCCATACACTAAATTTTTATGATGGATTCAGGGTCCGTGCTATATTGCTTTAACTTCAGTTTCAAGTTCCTGTTTTGGAAACGTTGATCTTGAGTCATATTTCTTGGATCACTTTGTGGAGGATGTTGATTTTCGGTTCAAGACCATTGTTTTCCCAATTATGAATACCTAACTCATCAATATAGAACCACCTTATCATCAGTACACTGGCCTCTGTAGGGTAGACAGGAACATTGTTTTCTATTGGTAGATTTGCTCAGGATGTGATATGAGATGGGCATTGATCATTTGATCAATGCCCATCTCTTTATATCTGTGCGTGTATATGTGCAGGAAGCGATCAACTAGATTGAGGATTATCTATCTATTGTATTCTGTTCATATCTATCTATATACCTATCCGTACAATCTATCTAAGTTTGTTTCTATCTATCTATCTATCTATTCCATTTTGTTATCTATCAGCGAACAGACTGAGAAAGCTAGCTAGCATTCCCAGTCTGTTCGCATCTATCTATCTATTTATCTATCTATCTATCTATTGTATTCTATTCATATCTATTTATATACCTATCTGTACAATCTATCTCAGACTGTTCATTTCTATCTATCTATTTATCTATCCCATTTTGTTATCCATCTATCTATTTATCTATGTCAGTCTGTTCGCATCTATTTATCTATCTATATATCTATTGTATTCAGTACATATCTTTCTATATACCTATCCGTACAATCTATCTTAGTCTGTTCCATTTTGTTGTCTATCTATTGTATTCTCTTAATATCTATTTATATATCTATCTGTACAAAATTATCTCTGTTCGTATCTATCTATCTATCTATCTATCTATCTATCTATCAATCTATCTATCTATCTATCTATCTATCTCATTGTTAGGCTGTTAGCCTATTGTCAACATGCCGGCTGGTATATCAATTCATGCCAGCATCCTGACATAGTGACTTGCGGCCATATCACGTTGAAACACCAGTTCTCGTCAGATCACCGAATTTAAGCAACGTCGAGCCTAGATGTGTGACCCCTTAGGAATCCCAGGTGCTTCGATGTGCGGGTGGTGTAATGGATAATAGCTCGGAATTGTTAATCGGAGAGCCGAGTTCCAATTCCAGTTGGGTTTGCTATATTCACTTATGCGCGAATACCCTTGGAAAGGTGTGAATCAACTTCTTCTCCCTCCAGCTAAGGGTTAATTAACAACAAAAATCACCCAAAAAGTTTCTGACAATTGAAAAATATTTTCTGACATTAAATAATCTGGAAAAGGTTGATAAACCGTAAAAACAAACTAATCGATCAAAAACACCTAAAGTGGAAAGGAAGTCGGTGTTTGAAATTTGCCTTCCAGACTAAGCTTTTAATTCTATCATTATTATTACCATTTACTTTACCGGGGGAAAATGAATTCATAAGAAGCAGTCTTTGTAAATGGCTGTTCAATTTTCAGCGGATTTCATCGTAAATTAAAGTATTAAAAGTAAATTAAAGTATTAAAATTAAAACGTATTTCTTGACTTTTTCTTAGAAAACGATTTGTTTTTCTTAGAAAAATCGTTATTTTTAGAATAAGAGTTTTTAATCATTTTAGAAATGAAGTAAGATTAATTTTGAAGATAAAATTTTGAATTTATTCTGCAATATTGCAGTTATTTATAATATATGTGTTATGTATTAATAGAAGGGTTATGGCCATACCACGTTGAAACACCAAAGTTAAGCAACATTGTACTTGAATGAGTGACCACTTCGGAATACCAGATGCTGTAAAATTTTAAATTTTTTTCAGCAATATTGAAGTTAAGTTGTTATGTTATAGCTGGCCACTCGTATTCGAGGACACCCGTATACTAGGGCGGCTAGCCAATCCCTATTGAATGCTCAGTCCCTCGGTCACGATGACTTGTGACTTCGTGCTAGCACAGCTATCGACGGCACCCAAGGGTTCCGTCTAGTCAATTTCACTCATAAGGCTTGAGTCAACACGTGATATGGTTTTTTTTCAAAGGTACCATACGCTGGCCCCTCCAGTCCGATACCATCAGGAAGTCTCCTTCCTGACAAATCGACCATGGTGAGATTCGAACCCGGGTCTCATGGAATGTGAACGTTCTAAACACTCAGCCACCTGTGATATATGTGTTGTGTATTAATAGAAGGGTTATGGCCATATCACGTTGAAACACCGAAGTTAAG